CCGATGGTAGCTGCGTTGAGCAACTCTTGGAAGCTGCATTGGGCAGCTGATGGAAGTTGCATTGGCAACTTTTAGGAACTGCGTTTGAAGCTGATTGTGAGCTGCGTTACTTTGACTCTGGAACGTGGCCATTTGATTTCACTTCTGGAATGCAGAGATGAGTTCTGCATCTTAGACTGAAGAGATTATTGATTTGTAATCTCATTTGTCAGAGCGTTACAAAAATTAGCATTTTGTAATTTTTGCTTTAGCTCCTTGAACTGCGAAAGCCGTCAGATTGTAATTCTCGCTGTTGATTGTGAAGACTACTGAATTAAAGCTTTTATCGGTCGTTGTGAAGGTCGTCAAATTATAACTTTCTCGATCTACATAAAAAACTTCTAATTGTAGCCTTTATTTGTTGATATGAAAGACATTTGACTGTAACCTTTATTGTCGAGTTGTCGATGCAGAGGTTATTAGATTGTAACTTCTATCATTAGTGTTTAATGGGGATCAGCTATCTGTAGTAATTTTTTAGACAGCCTACAAAATCCCCTCCAAAGTTTTTAAAAGTTCGCGGTTGACTGGAATAAAATTTTGGAATACTTTGGATACTAAATTAGTTTGAGATATGTTGTTGAATGACAATTCACTATATCTGCTTTGAGAGTATTATGGACTTGATTGTAGAAATTTGTTGTATATCGTAATTCTGCTTCCTGTATTTAGCATCTTTTTCGCTAGTTTCCTTGAGATCTCCTTTGGATAAGATTAAATTCACACTCTCGACAAACACGTAGAAGTAGTTAAGGTGGTTCTGATCTCCTTAAACCAAACAATGTAACTTTTGAGTCTTGACGATAATAAACTTAGTCAAACAAGCTAAAGCCCAAGTCATCATTATTAAATCATTAGTAGGATCGACTTTTTCCTTTTCTTTGGCAACATGAATAACATCATTCTCAGCCAATGTAATAGGGGCGATAGCAACGATGAATTTGTTTGGATCATTGAGATACTCATTCACCTTGTATGAGGGTGTATTCAGTGTTGACAGCAAAAGCAATAACGTTCTTAGAGGCATCGACAAACATGTGGGGCGTAGCTGCAAGAATTAGATAAGAGAGTGCCAAAGACAGCAAAGCAACCATAGAAACACCAGCTACAAACTTATCAATAAGATCATCCTCAATGAGGTTGAGCACCTCTGGGTTGAAGATAGATCCGATGTCACTTACAGAGAGAACCACAAGCCCAAGTTTGGCAAGGAGGACAACTTTATTGGAACACACTTTGTCTCCTTTCTTGATCAGCTCAACTGGGATAATGATTTCAACAATATCCTTGTTAATTTTGGTTGGAATGTTAAGCCATTTGAAATGATGAGTTGCATGAAGGATCGAGCTTGACGATGTCAGCGATATTAATTTTAATTTCTTCTCAGCTTTCATCATCTTGATGGTCATTGCTAGTTTCTCTATACAATAACTTTAATGGCAGTGTCAGCTCAACATGGGAGTTAACTCGAAAACTCAACGTTTGAAGGCTAAAATACATGTTTTCACCTTGCATTTAGGAAACTAAAACACATAGTTTTTAAACTTTGCGTTCAGAAAATGAAACGCATGATTTAACCTTGCGTCTAGCAGATGAAACGCAGGATTTAACCTTGCGTTTAGCAGATGAAACGTAGGATTTAACCTTGCATTTAGCAGTCCAACCGACTCACAATGGGTGAGATTTTTGCCTAAAATCCCGCTCCGATTCGACAGCTTCAGCTGTCTATAAAATAGACCGCCAAAGGTCAAATTAAAAGTCATTCGACTTTCCTATTCTTCTCGGGCGAATGTAATGAAACTTTTCGTTTTCCTCTCCAGCGACTCCTGTTCATCTTCTTCGGCGAACCCAACGAATATTTTTCATTTCAATATCTAGTGACTCCTGTTCCTCTTCTTCAACAAAATTGAGATGGGTTCCAAGAAGAGAACCGTTTCCAAATCGAAGATTGCCCTTTCTCAGGGTATACCGTCAGCTAAGACTGCTGATGATGCTCAGGCGACCGTGTCGCCACCACAGGCTCCTTCAATCAATGGTAGGCTTGGGCAATTTTAACTTGTTTCGACAAATTTCATACCATTAACACTATGTGAAAACTCATGTTCCGCCAATAAAATTAGATATTATCCTTAGTGTTTCTTAATTTAGAACGCAGGTCTAGATCTTACGTTTGGAATTTAGAACACGGGTTGAGCACCTGTGTTTTCCATTTAGAACGCGGTTTTGGAACCTGTTTTTCGAAGTTACAATGCAAGTCTGGAACCTGTGTTTTGAAATTACAACGTAGGTCTGGACTCTGCGTTTTGAAATTAGGTATTTTCAGACTTATCATTAGTTTCACACTAGCTGGTTGTTTCTTCACTTTGTAGTGCACTATTTCAGCGAGCTTCTTTCCTTCAATCATTACTTCAGTCATGCAGGAGGTGCAGAGAAGAATAAACTCTTCAGTTTCCGTTTAGAGTATCCCATATTCCAAGATACTAACAAAGAAAGGACCAAACTTATCACCCAAGCTTCTCCTGAAATTCTCAGATCTCTGGTTACAAATGCCAAGTTTGAGACAACTGAGCGTAAAGTTTTAAAGAAACCAGCCTTCCTTTTCAAAGATTCTGTTGACATGGACCCTAAGTGAATGTTTGAAGGGAATTACAAGTGGTTGTGGATTGTCGATGATCGTCACCTTTTCCTGCTAAATATGGAGCGGATGTGGTCGATCTCTTACTATCAATGTGCTTTTGTTCCGCGATCTATGAATAGGGATCTTGTCCAGGAACATGGTAATGTTGCTTCTGGACATCTTACTCATCGCAGTGTTCAACCGGCTGGCTTCAATTACTTTATGCCTTTGAAGCCTGGTTCAGTTAAGAAGGAGCATCCTGTTGGTGAGCATGCTAAACTGACAAACACGTTCATCAGCAAATTTATCTCTATGCAGGGAGAGTTCCCCCACTCAAGACTTTAGAGCTCCGACATGGGTTCATTCTAGAGAGACAAAATGGTGGGTTCGGATGGTAAATTTCATCCTAGAGGAATTGGAAGAGTCCCTTAGGATCTCTGACCTGAGAACCCCAATATTGGTCACTCGATACGGGATTTCTCTAAACTATAGTGGCCTTTTCGCCATGTTGGAGTTCTACAACCCTCATAGCGGCACCTTTTTCACTCCTGTTGGTGAATTAGGTTTTGCACTCCATGAGATGTTTGAGGTCTCAAGGCTATCATTTGGGGAATTGCCCTACGAAGAGTTTGTTCCTGGTAGCAAAGAGTTGGAAATTTTGAAAAATGGTACTCCGGCAATCTATGACACCTATTAGGAGTTAATGTGTCATTTCCAAATATGTGCACAGACTATTGGTAAGCAAGCGAGTGGTGTCAAACAAGGATAATGGGCTGAGTATCTCTTTCAAAACTTGTATGATAAGGACACATAAGTAACTTGCTTAGCTGCCAGCACACTGGAAGAAATTCATGAGCGTATCAATGATGCAACCTCCCACTACACTTGTGAGGTAGAGGAAGATGTTTTCCTGATGTACATTATGTTTGAAAGTTTTCACTATCACGAGATCCCGATTTCTAACATGGCCTTGTTTGCTAGTTTTCTCACTCTTTGGTTGAAACGTTGTGTAGTACCAACCAGGCCTATAGATGCCATTACAGTTAAAGTATTATATCTAGCTGTTCTTCTGGCTTATGGGCGACCTCTAAACTTCTTGTCAGCTATGGTATGTTGTTTGCAGAGTGGCCTTTGGGAGTTATCCTCTGAATTTATCGCAGTCAGGAAAGTGGAATCAGGTGGAAAGATCATTATCTAGACTCCTACCCCTCGGGTGCCGATGCCATATATTTACCTGGTGGCTTGGTTTGTGCTTCATTTTCCTTCCCTGATGTCGACTCCTGCATCGAATAATACTTCAACCCCTATTGTCCAGCAATTAGAGACTGCTCGATGGGTTGGTTGGTACCAAGTTAAGTTCCGGGAGATATTGAGACGGGATTTTAACTATGTGATAGCTTATAGCTTTTCCACTTTTGAAGGCGATGCATATGGGGAAATGCATCGGGATACTCCGGGGCTTAACTCTTTTACCACCCTTAGCAGAGGCGCTTTCTGGTGGCTTATAAACATCCGTCCGGGCTACCTTGTCTTTCGGCAAGGGAAGAAGTGCTTTATTAAACCATATCAGCCTTATCGCTTCTTCTGGCATTTCAGCTATGACCAGATTTATGTCGGAAACCCTAATCCAGCACTTGCATATACAAGTAATGTGTACGAAGGGGCAAGAGCCCGGTACTATTCAGTGGCAGGCTGCACAGGGGCAACATTTAAATTGCCAAACAAAGTGCCCAATGCCCACACTTCTTTGAGATTTTGTACTTTGTATCAGGTTGCTTCACAAATCCCCGAGTACAAAATTTATACCTCTTGCTTAAAAGCTATTCGAAAATGGTACGATGCTGAGAGGAGTTCTAAAAAGTCTTGCACCAGGGGGTTAGCGAGTACTTATCATATGAGGAAGTGATTGCCGAGGAAAAGAAGCAGCCGACACAAGAAGGAGTTCAAGAAGAAGAACACAGGGTATCTGAAACCCACGAGATGGAACCTTCAAGAGTGGAAACTCGTAGCCAGAAGGCAAAGGGGAAAAGAACCCTTGATCCAACTGAAGAGGGTGAGTATGAGAAGCGAGTTCGTCGCAAGTTAACACTCGATTCCCATGCCTCCAAACTCATGCAAGATGCTCGTAAAGCGTGGCATGCGGAGGAAGAAGGACGAGAGTCGACTGCTATGGAGCTCTCGCATCAGTCTGGGCTTCCTTTAGTTGTCCCAGTTCTAGGAAGTCCTGCCTCTTCGGTTCATTCACCGGATGAAGAAGGTAGGGATGAATCACTTATAGGGGATGCAGAATCCTTCCCACTAATGGATCCCATTGAATTAACAATCCCGGGTCAAGCTTCAGGTGTTGTTTCTTCAATCACAGAGGATACACAAGAAGGAATCGAGCCTGCAACAACTCAAACTGAAGAGGCTGGGTCTCCTGTAAACGAACCTATAGTGACTAAACTTGAAAAGCTTAGCGAAAGTCAATCTCTCTCTGCTTCAGCATTAATGCCACCTATAGGAGATACAAGTCATAGCTCGACAATGGGAATCATGGCTAAACCGTATGCGGTCGCGAGTTCACCTGAATCTTTGGCAGCAGGTGATGAGGAGGCTGTAGATTATGATTTCCTTTTGCATGACAATGTTGGTGATGATGAAGATGATGATAGTGGTCATGACGGTGAGGATCTCGGTGATTGGGATGTCCCACCACCGTCCTCTTCTGACAAGGTGTCGGCTTATGCCCCTCTTTCTCCCGTTGGTTAGTATTGTCCACTTTGAATTTTCTGGCACTTTTTTTTGTAACTAACTGGTTTCATATGTAGGATTTCTGACTCATGCAACTGAAGGGACCCTTGTTATGACTTCTTCACTAGAACGACAGGCGATGACAATTCCTCTTCCGGAACAAGCACAGATAATGACAACTCCTTCACCAGAGAAATCTTCCCCGTTAACGATTTCTTTCAAACCTGTGGTGACTGAGAGCACACCAAGTTTAGCTCAGGCAGGAGTGCTCATGGCTCTCCCTTCAAGTTCTTCACAATTGGACATCGTAACTCCTTCTCTGGCCGCCACGTCGAAATCGTCGGCTCACTTCCTGCTTAGCTCTATGACTTCGGGAACCTTGGTGCTACCTCCAATTGCTTCATCAAGTCCGGTAGGTGATCCCGTCTTGCTTGAGCTCTCCCTTGGTCTTTTTAAAGGGGCGGTAAAGAAAGTGATCGAGGTCGTCATTACCGGTCAGAATACATTTGAGTCTTTCACACCTCTCTTAATGAGTAGCTTGAACAGCATCAAATGTGTGGGTGATGCTCGTTATGTTGAACATTGATCAAAGGCCACCTCTCGCTTGGAAACAAAGCTAAAGGCCTTAGAAGAACTGGGACATGTAGATGTTCAAGCTCAAATTGCATCCACCTATGCTAATTTACAAGCTGAAGTGACACATCAACGTGAAGTCATTCATAAGGGTTTAATTGAGAAGGAGCTCGAAGTTGCACGTTCGCAGGAGATATACACCCAAAAGCAAAATGAGCTAACAATTTCAACCACTACTCTAGAAGTTGCTCGAGCGATGATCATTCATACCGAGGAGGCCATTGCTCAACTGTAAGCGGAATTGGCTCGACAAAAGGCTCAATTTGCTCAAGAGGAAGCCATTGTGACCGAGCTCAACTTCAAGAATGCAGAAACTCTCGTAAATTATTGTTAAAAAACGTAGGTCCTTGAGGAGGCTAAGAAAGAAGCTGTTGTTGCGGTGCTAGATGAGGACGAGCTCTGGAGGAGGGCTGAGATGATGGTGTG